TGTTTTTCTGAGTAATTATTTCCCTGTTTTTCTGAGTCATTTTTTTCTGTTTGTTCTGTCTGAAAAACAGAAAACAAATTACTCCGAAAAACAAACCATAAAACAAATTACTCCGAAAAACAAACCATAAAATAAATTACTCAAAAAAAAAAAAAGTGTGACAAAACAGCATTATTATATTATTATGTTGTGCATAATACTACTGCACTACTATTACTGCATATTAAGTACTGTAGAGGTACAGAGATGCCATGATCTAACAAATCTCGTTCTCCAGATGTAAGAAAACATGTTTGTTTGGTACAGATCCCAACAAATGTCACATGATCATGATTTTTTATTTTTATTGTGTTTTTAATAATGAAAATTATAATGATGATTGCAATGCAAAAATTCCCAGAAATCAAGATTCATATGGTAATTCAGTGAAAATTATGGCAATATTAGTTTGTTTTTACCATTTTGTGCAGCCCTACAAATTATCAGTGTTAAAGAGCCATCAGGAGCAGAAAAAGCGTTATTAAAAATAAAGAAATGTGTGCAACAACCCAATAAAAGCTGTGTTACATGCATGGTTTATTTCACTGAATTATATCATACACTACACACAAGTTGGGATAATAACTTTTTCTAACTGAAATGACACACATTAATAATTTACAAATTTTTTGCAAAACACCAGAAAGAATGAGGTACTTATTTACATCTTTCAAATCACACTTGAGTGCTTCATATCTAGTGATGTCTATCTCTTTCACACACACACACACACACACACACACACACACACACAGAGAGGTAGTTACATGTAGTTTTACAGAAAGGCCTGAGGAAAAAACGCATCATATGCAGCGATAAAGGCGACTGGAAATGCCCCTGTTTACTCGGGACAGTGTGTAGAGTTAGTGCACAGTGAGGTTCAACATCTGTAACAGATATTGACAAACAGGTCTTCAAAGTTGTCTCCTCTTCTTGCCCGGCTCCTCCTTGGCCTTTACCTTGGTGGTTATTATATAATCTGAGCAAAAGATATAGAAAATACATTGTATATGAGATGGGAAATTAGATAAAATGGGTGCAAATAAAGAGGTCATGATGCCACTAAACCTACCCAAAGGTCTTTATTAGAAGATCAACTGAGAGGGTTTGGATGGATGATGAAATTCACCCATGAAATTAACTATAACAAACGGGGGGAAAAAAACACATAAATGATACAAAGCAAATCAACCTCAGTGTAAGAAAATTAAACAAAACGACACTGCAAAAGTACTTTCATGGTAAAAAATTTGGGTAAATTATATTTATATATGTATAATATGGTTTCTGTCATTGATCAGGAGCATACTTACAGCTGTCTTCCTCATCTGAGAGAGTGCTGACAACGTAGCAGGCATAAACAAATCCCAGGAGCTATAAATTAACACAAATAAACAGTAAATCGTGTAGTACTTTTCTCAATTTTCTTTCTTTTGTTTGTTTTAGAAGCACAGGATTCATCACAAAGTCCCTCCAGGAAGTTATAACGTTACGATCAGAACAATTAATTCAACCAGGACCCCCGTGAATTCTGTGCGACCTTGCGACTTTGTCCAATCATCGCAATTTTTCCACAAATTTTTCACCGATCATAGCAAAAAGTTGAGCCACACGTCACCAAACTGCTGTTTCTTTTCTCACTGGAACAAGTTATTTTTGATTTATAATTATTTGCAATTCTGTGTTGTAGTTTCTTAGAAAAGCTGCAGTGAAATGAGAAATTTTAGCCGCAACAATCCCAAAAAAAAGCCAGCGAAATCCTGGAGAGGCTGGTAACCTGAAATGTATAATGTACAAACAAACTCAGATTTCAGTGTGAATGTGATGCTATTTTTTAATGTTCCAGGCCTGTTTTCCAATTTACAGTCGCTGTTGCTAGGCAACAGTGCATTCCTGTGTGTGCAGAAGCACATTTACTGATATTAAAACAATATTAAATGGTAATATGCTCTTCAATTTAAGTTTTAAAAGCATCATCGAGTAATTCTGTTGACATTTTCACCTGTTAAATGTTTCTCACTAACTAATGTGTGACAGAGACTCACTGATACGAGGAGCTGGACGATGCAGTGCAGGACTTCTACGTACTGGTATTCTAGCCAGCAGCTCAACGCTGTGGTCGGCTCCCATTTCTGCCACCCAGCGGAAGGAAGGCCGTCGCTCTCACACCTCGGCCCGTTGTCCTTCCACCACGAGCGATGCGACGACACTCCCAGGGTGAGTATGTCGCTGTCCTGCAGTGACACAGCAGAAGAGAACGGATATGAAGGCAACTTTTCAGCGCTTGGGTTCTTAAATGTATCTCTGTTATTTTTCTGAGACTGTGTCCAGCAGAAAGTGTCAAATCACTGCGAGAGAAAAAAAAAGACTGAAATGAGAAATGTGACCTGCAACAAAGATCAGGTGCAGTGTGAACATGATATGGTTTAATATGAGCCTCGCTTCCTGTTTGGGGCCTCTACTAAAGATTATTTTCATCTTCGACTGAGCTTTTGATTTTTTTTTCTGACAAACACAGGAAAAATAAAAGTTAGATAAAAATATGAAAGCTGTGGCACAAACCTATGTTTCAAAAGTCAATATTAGACATAAAGATTGCAGCATTTGGCAGAAAACAGCAAGACATTTTTTTTTTTAAATGTATAAAGCTGTCGTTTACGCAGATATTGAAGATACTGGTTGTTGAAATGTTCTGCAAGTGATTACAAATTTGATTTAGAAGAAGTACCTGCAGAATTATCTGGATAATGTTTATAGTATTTCTCGTGTGAAATTGGATTTTCAAGGATCTTAAACCATAATCATTATTAAAAGCAGGTATAGTCTTACAAATGTCCTAGCAAAGGGGTAAAAAGAGAAGAGGGAAGGAGGCAATGATGGACTGGTTAGAACAGATTAATACCTGTAAGTGCTGCATAGTTATGCTAATTTAATAATTTACTACACAGTGATGAGTCCAGGGAGAAGCTCTAATGTAGAGTCAAGCTATTTGTAACAAGAGACCAAGGCTGACGATCAGTAAAAATGTATTTAAACGACCAACTAATAACTAAGCCGTATTCATGAAGCTGAAACCAGGAAATGTTTTGTATTTTTACTTGATGAATGAGAAATTAAGTTTTCTCTGTTAAGACCAATACTACCACATCTATTAATAACCACCACAGTAATTATGCAATACTAACACTAATAACAACACACACGTAAGAACTTGTAATGTAATAAATGTTCATTTTATTATGTAACAACCGCCACATTTTAATAATAAACAGCCTAAACCCAATATGTAACACATTTTAACTCATTTTGTAATAAATTATTAAACATAGTGGTGGCTATTACAAAAAGAGGAAGTTGCACTTTTTTTGATAAACCAAATTTTGAATAATTTTATGGTGTTTTTGGGGAGTCATGTCAAAAGACCAATGTCAACTCTGCTAGAAATAAAAGCGTGAATTAGTTTTTCCAGGTCATAATTTGAGATAAAATCCCTGAGTTCGACTGTATTTGTAAGATGATAACAAGCTGATCTTGTTACTGCTTTTATGAGGCTATTTAAACTCAAATCAGAGTCACCACAAAGTCAGTGGAGTCTAATTTAATATTTAGGAAGTTTAATTTAGGTACATTTTCATCATAAAAAAAGCTGGTTCAATATAATTGCCGCTGCAGATCGGAGACATAAACAAGCGACTGAGATATTTTGTACCTGAGAACAGAAACTGTGAAGGAGTGTAATCATGTGACAGGCAGGTCCCTGAGACAGGGAACGAGCTGAACACTGTATTTAGCAGCTGAGTCTCTAATTATCTGACACTTACGTGACCATTAGACTTACCTTTGAAAGCCCTCCCAAATCCAAGTACAGACAACTAACAAAGACATTCCAGCCAACCCACAACAATGTCCACAGCAGGTACTGAGAAGACAAAGACAGAACAAAAAGCATTTATTTAACAGGGTCATAGTGCAGCTGTATGGCACAACTGTACAAAGCGCTGGCTCCTGAGATACTGAGGCAACACAAGATGATTAAAGAGAGATGACAGAAAGAAAAATAGTTCTGTTACACAAAACTATGTGGTTTTTTTTTTTAAACTTTCATCTGAATGTTGCTTTGTATCTTGTGACATATTGGATGATATCACTACTTCAAGGCTCCAAAAATCCTTCAAATGAAACAATCCCAGTCACACAACCTCATCTGCTGATGGTAAAGTTATTAATACTGATTGTTGTTATTCTTACTATTGTTGTTGATTTATTTCTGTCTTACACTGCCCTCAAACACACATCTCAGATATCCGATCAATAACACCCCCGGTTAACTCTGCATATCACAGTTTTCAAAGTAAAATGAGAAGATCAACACCGCTCTTGTGTCCAGTGCCTGAAATGGGCCGGTCCTCACAGGTATAGAGTACCGAGCAAGTGTGAGCCTATCGTGACGTCACCCATTGGTTTGTGGAGTGCCGTTTTGAAGCCTCGAGTTTGGCGTTACGGTCGTCGCCACGACAGTTTGTTGGAGACAGCGGACGTGACGTATGGTGGCTCAACTGAGCACACATGATCTCGTATTACAGTTCATTAAAATATGTTTCTAAAACAATTTTAGGAGAGAAATAAGCAATGCAGTAACATAATCTAGCTTCGTATTTGATCAGCACTGCTTAGTTTGACAGTTTGATCTGAGTTAAGATCTACGGACTCACTGAGAATGACCTGTCAATCACAAGGTAGACATGCCCTAAAGCATACCCTGCTTTATTGTCTATTTTACTATACCTTGAACCATAATTTACAAAATAAACATCATGCTGTATGGAAGAAGACTTAGAGAAAAAAAGAGAAAAACTCATTAGGAAACTCTTCACTGAGCTAATAAATCAAGTNNGGCCTTTACACATAATGCAGGTTTAAAACACTTTCTGTGACCCAGAAGCTCCTAGTAAGTCCAGATACGCTTCCCTAAACACCCACGTAACACAATTATTTCCCCCCCACCAGCTTTCGACAAGGACCCGCCCTACTCTGCCTCTGATTGGGCAGTGTGGGCAGATTCTGTTACCATTTGAATAGCTGTTTACCCTTATTTCTAGTCTTTAGTCTAAGCTAAGCTAACATGCTGCTTCTCACCTATCGAACTATTCCCACCAAGCCAAAGAAGGTCAGGAACCACTGATATAAGCCAACATTCAGTATTCAGTGCTTTAAAACAAACTTTTTAGCAAGTTAAAAAGAAAACCACAGTTCCCCTCACCAAAATAACGTAGCGTGATCTGTACTGGATGACGCCAAACAGGCCCAGGACGACCACGATGATGTGGAAGAAGTTGATCATGACGGGAGCCCACTGGTAGCCGAGGAAGTCAAACACCTGCCTCTCCAGCGCAGTTACCTGGAGGAGCCAACAGGAGCAGATACAGACCTCAGAGACCCCTGATGATGACTTAAATAAAACACATTCACTTTGTCACACACCCGTCTGTCAGGTGATCTCTCGCTTGTGAATCCCCACATGGTTGTATTTTTCATTCTTAGCAGTTGTCAAGGCAACTGAGCCTTAAGGGACAAAGCATGCTGGGGGAACAGACAGACCCTGGTTCTAGTGTTAAGTCCTCTGAGGTCGGTGCCCCA